TGCGGATGGTGTTGGAAGACTTCCCCACGCGGACGCCAATTGGCCATGAATGGCAACGCGACAAATCACAATTCCAATTAGTCAGTCGTTTGACTAATGAGAGGGACTGAGTGCAGGGATCGACCAATGGGTAGGCTGAATGTCGCCCCCGTCAACGTCTTCAATTGTAAGCTGATTCGTCACATATATGTGTCGTAGAGAGGAAGTCTACTCGCGTACAATGAGACAAGTAACTCGCATCTATAGACAACTGGTTGTTTCTTCGCCAACTGTTTGCCGCCTTTACAACTGTACAAGTGTAACACTGCAAAACCGGAAAAGGGTCGCTTAAGATGCAATCCCTGTGTAGGATGAAGTAGAAACAGAAACGGTTGGAGCCGTCGAGTTGACAGGTAGGCAATAAACGCCGGTCGGAGTGGTACGCTTCAACCATCCAATGGGGCCACATACGCAACGAAGTTCAGCTGGTGAGCGACAGCAACAGCAACAGCGACAGCCAGTGCAAACTGCGAGTTCGCATGCAGCAATTAGAGTATGCGACATTTATGGCCTCACAACTTTTGGTCAGTTGAGGTTATTTCAGTCAACCCTGCGAACCGAGCGACGCCTCAGTTTACCCTGAAACTTTCGCTGTTGTTTGGAGCATTGCGGGGCATTGCAGATCTTAACGCGTGTGTGTGCGGACATGTCCAAATGAGGTGGCACTTTTTGTGAAGGTGAGACAACTCACCTGAAGAATGTAGTTGGAGGGTCCGTGAACGGTGATGTTGCGGTTGCGGAGGACGGGGAAGAAGGTGTCTTCTCTGTGCCACACCTGAGGTCGTGGGGTGACCTCACCGAAAGTTGGTGTAGGCGCTCGTGGAATAGGGATTTGATTGAGCGGTGAGTCGAGGTAATTCCACTCGCGGTCTCTTCGCACCACTTCATCTGGTGGCTTTCAGACAAACAAACACAAACATTACCAAGTCTTAATGACACAGCGTGAAGCAATGGGAACAACGACACCTGTGTGCCATATGGCAATGACACAACGTCAGTTTTATATTGATGACTTGAAAAGAAAATGGACGATGAGTTCGTGAGTCGAGCTGATCTGACCCTTGAAAGTGGTCCATCTTCCTAGAGAAGTGAACACACACGTTGGTTGGTTGCACAAAACAGGCAAATCACTGCCGAGGCAACTTTGAGGCAGTGATTGTAGACAGTACAATGCACTGCCTTTGATGTTTACGAGTCGTAACAGAATCCAGATTTCTCAATAAAGTGTCCTCATCACTCTGACTGCTGATCAAAACATGCGCAATGAATACACACCTTTAAATATGTCTTTAAGCCATCGCTAGTCATAAATAACTAGTAATCACTAGTCATCACAAGCCATAAATAGGCAATATTTAAGGGTCCAATCCAACAGTAAATGTTTAAATCATCCCTATTTTGTTATCGAAGCTTCTACATTTGAAGCCTAATCTGCAATTTCGAAGCAGCTACTGAAAAGGCGCAGCAAAATTTCCACGAAATCGGCACAAAAATCACAAAGATATCAGAAGCTCGAAGCATATTTCTACTTTCACGTTACTAGAACGAACTTACCACATTATACGTTGGAGGTTTTACTTCTAAAAGAAGAAGGGAATAATTGCTAAGTGGGTAGAGAGAGAAAATGCAAATTCTCACCAATTTTTGCACTCCTCGAACAAAAAACAAATAAACCCCAGACTGAAAACAAATTCTTCTAAAACTGGTAACTCTACATTTCAAATCTACGAGATGCAATCTGCCATACATAAGGGTGGAAAAAATCTGACTATAACTGCAATCCCCTAACATCACATTCTCCCATGTTTTAATGGCCATATAATGACAGTGACAGGCGGTAATGGATTACGGCAAAAAAATGGGACGGCACTACTTTATATTTTCTTTTTAAAAATTCTATGACCATCGAAAGGGGATTTACCCAAATACATAAAATAAATCGCCCAGTGATAGTAAGCACAGACGGTTTTTGTGCAACTTTAGCTCGTCAATTTCAGCAATCCACACTGCGCTTTGACCTTAGTGTTTTATTTTGACCAAATTGACGCATTTGGAAAAAAACCAAACCAAACCAAAGCAGACGTTTACAAAATAACAACGAAAGTTCAGAATGCGCACCTCTTCTGGAAAGCAAAGTTGCGCCATAAAACGATTGGCAACATGAGGAGTTGCTACAAGAGACATACAAATGGTAGTGAAACGACCGACTAACAAAGGCTACCCTTGTCTGGAAGGTAGAACAACAAAATAGTCCACCTTTACCTAGCTGAAGAAAAAGCAGGGCGCGTTTGTAATGGGTGTGGTTAGATCATTCCCACAATCACATGTATTGAAGGAGGGGATGATAATTCATGAAACATTATCCGTTACTTTTGCAAGCCAAGTGAGCACCAAATTTCGGTTTGATCTGAGAAGTAATAAAAGGTGAGCTGAACAAAATCGCTTCCACAATGTAGATCAGTTGAGATTGAATGCTTTCGCCTTTCTCTACTTTCGCAAAGGCATGTCATGCCAATGACAACGCATTGGGGGCCTTTCAGTTAGAAACATGGGGGAAATGAATGGAGGCGGAGCTGTAGTTCCATAAAACCGCGTGAGACACACCAAAATGCCATAAAAAGGCACTGATACAAGTAGAATGGGTGAAATCAGCCCACGTGAGATCAGGCTTATTGCAGAACTGGCTTTTCACAGTTGCGGTTCCTGATTAGAAAATGAAGATAACAACAGTTAACAGTAATAATTGCGATGGCACGCAGCTTGAAATCCACCCATGAAACGCATTGGAATATGCAAAGGAAAAAGGCCGTACAAAGGAACATGTAGTAGTATTATCCATTTGACAAGATGCAGCCTTGGTATTTGATACAGTGCAAGTTTCTTGCAAAGGAATAAGTAGAGAATTCAGAAGACCCTTTCGGATAAGTTTACCCGATAAAATAGCCACCGTTACAGAATCTGTTGCAATAAAACGTTCCGTCCCCCAGATCAAAAAATGTAGGCCTAGCCACCATCATTTCTATCTCATTTATGATGACAAGGAAAAGTGATAATAGCTTGGAAGAGTTATTATAACGAGACCAGGGTGGATGAGGACAAGGGTAAGGCAATACCTCTCTCGGTTTTGTTCTGAAGTGTGGATTATATAACAAGTTAATTCCATGAGCAAGTGGATATGAGAGGCTGTGTTGCCTTGCAAAATTTGGACCTTATGCCCGCCGGTGCGATTGTTCGACCTTCACTGAGAAACGCGTGGTAAACAGTCCCGTCCGTAGTCCACCACACACACACACACACAACAGGGAAAACAACTTTTTGTTTGGGAAGTCACCAGAATCACCTTTTTAAGCATTTTTGGCCACTACGTTTGCTACCACATCTTGGCTAAATGACGGACATCTTTCACGAAGAGTTGTGGAAGGACAACATTGAGGAATCCCATACAGATGGACTAATGCCTGTCTGTAAATTACAAGTTTCTGAAAGTTATAAGACTGTGAAAATTTGATTGCCTGCCAGAGCGATATAGAGATAGTTTCGTTGATACCATCCGTTTGTCCTTCTTTTTTTGGAACGAAAAACCGGAACATTAGCCGAGACTATTATTTCAGGATCTTGGAATTGCGCCGTAAAAATTAACCCATTCCATAGAAATGTAAAAAAAATAAACAGACAAGAAGCTCTACTAAATTCACGCGAAGCATTGCCGGGAGATAAAAAAACAAGACTAAAAAAGGTTGATAAAATGGCGTGTCGACGGATCCAGGAGTAGGAGTATGTAGGGGTAGAAAACCCTCCCATGGAAGGAAACAAAAATAACCAAATTATAGCGATGTCATGGGTTTGCAGGATCACAAATTAGCCACATTGTGCAAATTTTCCACGACAAAATGCAGGGAAAAATAATTTTTCTCTCGAACAGACACCTTAGCGACGATAAGGTTAAAAGCGGTCAAAAATTGGAGATTGACCTCACTACCGCCAGTGACCCATTCATAAATGACCCAGTTCCTAGCTCAAAAATCCAACTCCTCAGATGTCTATTCGTGAACAATAAATGGTATGAAAGTAACTTACTTGCACTGTGAGGAAGGAATGCTTTGCCTTCAAGTCTGGAATATTCCTTTCCCAGAGTACTTTCTAATGCTCCTGCATTACCAACACCAGCTTCTTTTCTCTGCTGTTCAATATTCGCTACCATATTCGATGCTTCACCTTGCAAACTCCAATGAATCACAAGGATGCAAAGAAGCAACACTGAACATGCGGCCACATCAGAAATCATGCCTGAAATGACAAAAAAGGTAAACACCAAACACAACGTGAGAATGATGGAGTAGAAAATGAGGTGAACAAAAAGACATGTATTTCACGTTTTGGCAAGATTACATAGAACCGAGGGAGGGTAAGGGGAGGAGGATGCAAATACTGATTGTTCACTGGCGAAGAAAAAAGTGGAGATGATGTTACTGAGGACATGGGTGGTGTTGTTACCCTGGCTAGATATTGACTACAATTCCACAGGGTAAGCAATCTTCTCACTACTATTGGTGGAGTGGTTCCGTGTCGACTGCTTTCCACTGCTACCACCACCACTACCATCTTGACGACGGCATCTACGGTGATGGTGATGGCGGTGATGATGGGGGCGAACGTTGGCGCTGCTGTTGGCACTAGGGTTATTGGCAGTCGTGCCACGACTAGAGGACCAGGAAGGACCAACGGAGTGCGGACTATTGCTCGCGGTGCGCGGTGCACCCTCAGCTGATTGGGCACCACGGGTGGAAGGACCGCAGCCAATACTGGACGAGGACTGGGTATCCATGGCGCGCCCAGAACGACGCCTAGGGCGCCTGGAACTTGTGGCTAGGCGAGAGCCCCCACTCCCAGAACCGCTACCGATTTCACCAAGATAGACGATTCCTCCGTCAGCTACGAGCGAGGAGGTTTCCAGATGTTGATAAGGAAAGCGAGTTGAATGCAACAGATGGGATTGCTGTTGTAGTTGTTGGGGGCAGGTTGGAACGTTCGAGGAAGGTGTAGCGCCTATAAAACAGAAAAGGTCCACATTGGTTAGGCTGATTGCTGGATTTAGGAAGAGAACCATAAAGATGAGCCACAATTCTAGCCTATAAATGACTAGACTGACGACTAAATATGCGGGATGGGGAATAGTTTGTGGAAGAAAGGCAATTACTGTAGATGAGTGAATCAATTACAGGGTGACTAGACCATAAAATTAACCAACCAGAAACACGGTTTTGGGTCTGATTCTGCGGCGAAAGTGGCATTTGCTGATGGACTTGTTGTTGATGCTGCTGCTGTTGCTGTTGTTGTGGCAGCCACTGTGGATGATGAGCTACCGAATAGCAAATGGGTTGCGTGTTCCATGAACCTGGAGGTGGAGGCTGCGGTGATGAAGGATACTCATGGAAGTGCCTTAGCATCGGAGAGTTGGGTGAAAGTTGATGCGGTTGGAAGAGATCACCCATAGACTTTGCTGGCGGCAGCACTATCTGCTGCTGTTGCGTTGGAGTTGCAAGTATCTGGGAATGGAAGTCGTCAGGTGACTTTCGAACACCGTTGAGCAGTGAAGAAGGGTCAGTATGCGGTACAGCGAGTTCGCCACTGCATGTACGATTGACCCCGTCGAAGACAGTGTTGACGACGGCTGTAGGGGAGTTCGTAGATCTCGCGTTGAAACGATTTCGACGACAGAGGCAAATGATGCAACCCAGGCAAAGAATGATGAACAGCACTGCCGCCACCACAATTGATACTGACGTAGTCAATCCAAGAGACAGAAACTGTCCTAGGAAGCTAATGTCTTGATCCGTTGGGCCCCCATCTACGAAATAACAAACCCAGTTCCTTCTATTTTAATTTGATAATGGCATCTACTTCAGAGCAGATCTTCTCCCAAGAATTTTAAAGGTAAGTTGGAGCTTCTGATTTTACAGCCGTAAAATGTGGTACTAACGCGGCGGTACCGCGCACAGTAGCAAGTGGGAAGTGTGCCCAGTGCACACACCATGGATCAGTCCACTCCAAACATCGTTAATCAGGATGCCAGATGATAGTGTTAGTGAACACTTGAAACAGCACGTAGTGATGAAGTATTCTGACCAAAGGCGTAAAAGCTGTACCCGCAGATATCCAATTGCATAGAAGGTTTCAAGCGCAGCAAATGGACACTTGAACAGCATGTCTGTCGACCACTAGTCCGGTACAGTGGTTCTTAGACCACAGGACAGCTGTCATCCCTCTGAATGCACAACGCGTGTGTTAGCTAGCGTAAAACTGCACAGATCAAGCCTTCTTTGAAATCGTTACACACAACAAAACCCTTAGAATATCGGAAAGCTGGTGCATGATGGATGTCAGGACAGACAAATTATCATAGGATGTTTTAGCTCCAAACAAAGTCAAATTAAGCCGTGTCATTCAAATCCAGCCAATAGGAGGCCGGATCAGCAGAATAAAAGGCGCTTGTCGCTATCCCATATGGCTTGATTGGCTTTACCACTTGACAGACGACTGACGGGCGGATCAGTTTACAACAGCCGGTTGGCTGACGGCAGCAGCGGCGCGTGTTTGCGTGTTTACTAGACGTGACGCTGTGCCAGCCAATTTTCATCCACTACGGACACGGAATGGGATGGGACGTAGAGAGGGCGGAAGAGAGGACACGGCGTGACTCATGTAGGAGGGCGTGGGTACCGAAATTGGACAGCCGTTAATCTTCCCTCGAGAAGTAAGCCTTGACAACACCGCTCTCTTTTTTTACTTCCCCAATTGGCATCGCTTCTTGCTCCATAACACTTAAAACAAAAGTGATGCAATGTGCCCGATGTCTTTCACTGAGGCTTCAGGAAATGCTCAGGCATAAGTCGTTTGATTCTTGTGAAATGATGTTCACTTTTCAGGCTCTTGCGAAGCCAAGCCAGCGCCCTAGATCTTGATGAAGTAATAAAGGTCTGATGGGCATTGTTCAAACATCGACATTGACTAAAGTTATCTGTTGCGGAGAGATGAACCTGCGGAGATTTACAGTAGAAGGGCTACCAAAATCGCACTCTCCTACACCCAACTCAATTGCAAGGCCAAATTTGAATGAGTTGGAATCGTTATTAAAGAGCTGATGGCGAAAAAAGAAGAAATTAATGAGACAATGAAGTACTGTCGAATTAAACTTGTTTCTGCCCCCAAGGAGACGCCTAGGAGGGTACAAAACCTCACTATGGAAAGAATCCCTTTGTCCATGAATTAGGTAACTTTTTTCACTACTACTTTGTACACAGAGGCGAAAGGAGAGATTGTGTGAAAACGACGGATCGGGTGCGTATTTAAAATCGTTCCCGCAGCTGGTCAGTACAACGGCGCTACTAGCGTAAACATTTCCATCTTCGGTCCACAACGTTAATCACAAATGCGGATTCCGAAGAGTTGGGCAATTACAAAAACTATCATTTTTGGCCACGAGAACGGCAGTTAAAAAAGAACAACGGTTTTCTTCAGTGAAAAACGACTGCTTTTGAAATCCGTGAGGTGAAAATTCATCCTACCATTTCATGAGTGGTCATTGGGAGTGCCAGAGACGCGCGCACTCATGCTTATTACGCAGACTTCTCAATCGCTGGAGGCTCCAATACCACGCCCCAGTATCATGGCTTTCCGTAGACCGGTGCCAAACCACTATCCCCTATTACGACCTCGGGGATGAGAGCATGAATTTGGGATGGGGATTACAGTGGCAGGAATTTAGACTACAGAATGGCCAAGTCAACAGCCACTTAAGCCATGGAGTTGGGCAAATTAATCATCCAAAAGGGAAAAGAGGTAGCACCATTATTATTACAAATGAGGGAGCTAATCAGTAAACAAGAAGTGCTTCGATACCCCTTTAGAGGCAGACATATAAAATCATCCAATACATTCCATGAAATGCAATATGCCTTCAAATTAGTCTTTAAGGTCAACACAAGGGGTAATGAATGTTGAAAAAACCAAATTCGTGGACAGGATTTAATCTACTACCTTATGGAGCATCTTTTTCCTGTCGGTTGACACCTCACAACTAATTAATATATCATTCTTATGCATGACATAATGGTGTATCACAACTGGGAACTTATTTTTAGTTGAACGATAAGTGCACGTGTTTCCGCCTTTTTTGTTCCCCACTATAGAAACGACAAAAAAACTTTTGAAGACAATCAATCCAAAATAAAATTATTTGGATATGAAAGGGGTAATTACATTACTTTGCCTGTAAAGGATGACAGTAACCGTGACACCTTGATAACAACGCACAAACATTGGTTAAACTGACTGTTTGACCAATTTTTTTCGGGGATTTTGAATTTAGTATTCGCAAGTTGGGCAAATTTGAGTCCTAGTAATTCACATGTATTTAAAATATAATAGCGCCAACAGCAATTTCAGCAAGAGTAATCATTTACCATCACATTTCACTAATTCACGAATTTCATCGGTTGCATTTGCCCAATCGGATGCTAGTAGTAAAACGGAGTTATCTCCAGATGCATTTTATATCCTAAGATTTTACACCAAGTAAGGCAAAAAACTCCATTTTTGATAACAAACAGTAACCCAAATGCACAATGCCTGGTTTTTAAAAGTGAAGTTTGATCGAACGAATTACTGTTTGTGGAGGGGTAGATTACCCTTCCATTCAGCGAGTACTTTGGGAGTACACTAATAACTTCTGGAATCTTATTTCTAAAATACCAATTTTTAGAATCTTCTCGGAGTTAAAAGCTTTTGCACCGCATTTGAACTCCTTTTTTGAAACATCACCGGTCAATAGAAAGAGCACCCTGCCGCCGAATTCGTTTCGTTTCAAACAATTTGATGACTGAACAGCTTCGCCACAATTTTGCACTTTTTTGAAAGGCATAAAAAACCTGTGGAAAACCACACATTTATATAATCAAAAACCGCAAAAAGTAAAGGTGATACAATTTACATGTTTTTACTGATAAGCATATTTAACTTCTCCTCTGACTGGACAGTTATAGATCAATTACCCACCTTGGAAGTGATTGCAGAGTGAGGCAAATTCATCCCTACCATCGGGACAATTGAAAACGCCATCACAGCAAACCCGTTCAGAGACGCAAATACCCGTAGAGGGAAGACGAACCGAAGATCTGCTTTCACCGACACCTCCACTGAAGTTGATAACTGATGGAATGCCCCCCAACGCAGCATTTTTCACACTGCCGCAGTAAAAACGACCTTCTGGACATGCGGAAGTCTGACCTAAAACCGGAGCACAGTCTCATCTGGACTTGAACTGGATTCAACTTCCAAAGAAGGAACAGAATTGTGTAAAAAGACCACATGTTCCAGATGGGACCCCACAAGTGTCGATATGAATATGTGAGCAATGAATCAGGCTATGAGACGACTCCACAGATCAAGTGTACCTGGCCGCCAAATGTAAGGGAATACTGTATATCGGTAAAAACTGTACACTGGCGAGTGTAGGGTGACTACCCTATATTACCTAAATAATCGAGATAATAGGTTTCCTCTTCCACCTCCAATGCAGCACATCTACGAAGATTTGGAAAGAACCCGGTGGTTGGTCAAGTGACTGGTATTAATCAGTACCAACAAAAAAAGAATTATATGAAGTAGATGACAGACAGATTGTTATAAATATACATCAATAGGATTAGAGGTGAAGTAGAGAGGCAGAGAGAAAGGAGGTCAGATGAGCCGAAAGTCGCTGCAGCTTACGTCCATGCATAGCTGAAAGTTCTTTTAAAGTGCAAGTCATCGTTTATATCCACGCTAAAGTACAAAAACGTTATGTTGTCATTAGCTTAGCCATTGTCAGTGAGTCACTCACCCACTCACACACTACTCTCCTACACCTCTAAGGCAAACACAACCCCGGCGTCAGAAGACCGATCCCTGATGCCTTGCCTGCGTTGGGCTCAACATGTTCGGCCTCCTTGGTGAAGGCCAACCGCAGCTGAGACCAATCCACATGAAGCGATACAACTTGAGAAGGTAGAAGCATTCGACAAGTTGGAGGGCAACATGTCCTCACACGTACTATTGCACAACCAATGGGGATAGAGGTGAAAAGCTGTAGAGGCCTCAACCTCAACCCTCATATTCCTCTGACAGTATGCCCTTAGATAATTATTATCACCTTTTCTTGACGTTAAACCATCTTCTGCTGAAAAGCAACTTTATTAGCTCCTCCAGAAATAGAAGAGACAAACACGTTGACAGTTAGAGCCAGGTTTTTATTCTTGGCATTGAAGAACAAAGTGCCTGGCGAAGGTGGAATTTGTAGCAAGCTTATGCCTTGTGGAAAAGGACTTTGGAGTCTTCTAAAGGAACTACATTTTCTTTAACACAGCACAAATTTGTTTGATTATCATCTAATGACAAATGTTTCACCGTGAGTGCATCCCGCATCTCCTGCTTACAAATGGAGCATTCCCATCCAATTTGGATCCCATTTCTCACCGAAATGAGTCATTTTGTCAAATGTACAGTGTTGGCCGTCAATCTTCCTTTCTCCTGTCAGTTTCATCCACGGGAAAGTAGCTTTTTTGGCTCACTAGCGAGATCTGCCCGTCTGTTAAAGTCATTCCTGCAGTTGCAAGCCTCCACAGGAGATGCGCAATCACTCTAGCTATTCAAACAAATGCCTTCGTCAAAGCACCCATGTTTTTCATGAGAGGTGAGAAAATAACGTTGCACCCAGATTACCTCCGAAGATGCTGTAGATCATCCCAGGCACATTTTCGTAGAAGATATGAAGAGTTGGTAATGTGGCACAAGCCTTTCAAAATCAATTGACAAACGAACTCAACCCCTCCACCGTGATAGCATCCATCCATTTTATACTTCACGCCCCACTTACAGCAGCTATTTTGTCCTCGATCATTCGACATCCCGTTATGTGCATTTGATTTGACTTCACAACTGCTGCGAGACTCGTTGTTTTCACTTGGCGTTGTCAATTTATCGAGGATTGGCTTCCACTTATCTGCGCTACTTTTAACCAATTCTTGACAGAGGAAGCGCTTGTGTCTACACGTCAGCATATACACTTTTTCCTTCCTCACTAGAAATTCACTATAGTTGCCTAGGTTGGTTACCTTTTTTTTCTTCGCGCCCTAGTGATCATTTACACGAAGTGCTTCTACTTTATTTTGGAAACAAGAAGACTCCCGGACCTTCGTTTCGTTTCATCACTTTAAAGTCGACGTGACTAATGGGAGACGAGGACAATGCATCTTATTCATTCACCGATGGTGGTGAGAAAAAAAAGGGGAGGAAAAAACGGCAAAGTGAATCATTTCGCACCCCATGAAAACGCATCATGACTGATTAGGTTAACGCTGGGGTTGTCATTGAAAACAACTTTCATCAGTGGATCTCATCGCAAAATAAAAGTATTTTCACTAGCCAGTTGCGCAGTATAATGTGTGAGGTCATGAGCTGCCTTCCAACCTGCCAACTGTTTCAGGAGGAGTTTGCCGTCCACACCCTCAAGTTGTGTCATTTCGTGTGGATTGGTCTCATGCGCAGTGGACCTTCAACAAGGAGGCCAAACATATTGAACAGTTCTGTGTACGGCATATCCAACGCATAAACACACACACAAGGCAAGCAAGCATCGGTCCCATGGCGACCGAGTGGTACGTGCCTTGGAAGTGTGGGAGAGCAAGTGACTGGATCGTATCGGATAACCAATGGCATTTTTGTTCGGTTAACGAACATTGAAACAAAAGAACCCATTCTCATCATAAATCATCCGCTCATCCATTCAGTCAGCCAAACAGCAAATCACCAAACAATCCCAAGTTCAGGGCACGCTATCATAATTCATGGGAAGGAAGTGCAGAGGCCACATCAGCAACTTATTTTCATCTGTCAATACATGACATGTGGGTGGGGTCTGTTGGCTTCGTTTACGATACAACATCAGTTTGTGTGAGGGCAAAACCAGTGGTACTTGTTGATGCCAATTGACACTAGACAGCACCGAACGCTTTTTCGTCGGTATGCTAATGTCGAATGCTAATTGACTCAGCAGTGACACAGAGTGATTCTTCATTCTCTTTCAGATTAAAGGACCCTCCTGAGTGCAAGTCGTCAACACCTGAATGAGACGTGCGCCAATGGTCTTGGAGTGATACGTTCTACTACCACATGGCATATCTTCCCTCTGCAAACGCCCTGCACCAACTCCGACGAGAAGCTAGCTTGCAATGGCTCTGAAACCGAGGCATACGCATTTCGTATAGCAAGCATAGTCGAAGTGCATTTACAAGATACTCAAGTGGTACTTTATCACATGATGGTTTAGAATAAAATGGGTGGTGAAGAACACAATGGAGAGCACCGTCCGTCCTGACAAGAGGACAGACGGAAGGGCTGACGTACATCTGTACCTTACAGAGCGTATAAACAAGCAATGGCCGGGATTTTATAAGTGTCCAGGGGCCATAAAGCAACTTCCCAGCTATGGACAGCCAAGAACTACACCAACTTTTCCTCATCATTCCATATTTGAGCGGTGGGATGGTTGACCTAACCTTAATAATTTCTTATTTTTTTAGAAACCGTCAACCCATTCAACCCCAAATGAGTCAGCAATGGAAGTAGATCCGTAGGGCTATAAATTTGACTTCCTAATAGCCTCAATAACGTCGGTCTCGCATTTTTATGTTAGAATGGAATTTTTTTACTTCTAAATGTGTTGCACAATAAAAACTCGGACTGTATCACCACTCGGAAGTGCAACTAGACGCATTTCTGGAGCAAATTAGAGGTGAATTAATTAACAGGATTCTTTCTAGCCCATGCAAGATCAAGTATTTCGTTTAAAAATTGTTTTCCGAGGTCAATTTTTACGGGGGGTCAAGGGGCCTCGAAAGGAATCGCATGGAGAACAGAGGGCCCTAGGGGTAGGGAGGGTTAAAAAAGCAAGGGGAAAGCGATAAACATGTCTAGACATGAACACACACATAAACATGAACGAACAGTGAAAACGTCAGCTGACGTTACAAGTTATAGGAGGTCTCCAGGCGAATGAAAAAAAGTAGAGGAGGAGAGAGAGCCAACGCTGTCAATAAACGGGGTGTCAAGTTCTCTCCTAGTTGGTAAACTGTAAACCGCGCTGGCGAGACGTACAGTCAGATGCCGCAACATACTTCTCTAACGGTGATAATAAGTGCGTGCTCTTAGGTGGAGCTTTTCAATGCCCCACCAATCTAGTCAAGCTGCTGGAATAAATTGGAGCAAATTGGGAGTAAAGTGGACACTAAATTGATGACAGCTTGATTGGGGTATGCCCAGTCAAGTTTTATCCATTGCAAGGAAAAATAACAACTTTATCTGATGCTTCAAGGAAAACCTAAGCCCAAATGGATCAGAAGTTTAAAAAAGACAAAAGCTTTTTACCGTGGATGACCGACTTATGCAAACTTGCCACAAGAAAGGTCATTATAATTGCGCAAACTTCGGGGTGGATCATGGTTCACGATTGTTTAC